TCCATTTTCAGGCTCAAGCTCTCACTAACAAACACGCTATCAAACGCCGTCTCAGCCAGCCCAAAGCCCAGCCCAAAGCCCAGCCCGGCAAACAGATGCGGCGTCCTTCCTCCTCTTCCTCCTCTCCCGACCAACCTTCGAGTTTCGCGCGCTTCGATGCGTCGACGGGAACTCGTCGTGACCCTTCCACATTGCAGTCGTTGTGCATGTCTTGGTCCTCGCTCTCCGACAGGCCAGGTTTCTCCTTGTCTCACTCTACTGCTGTGTCACCCTCCACCCCTCCTTCATGACCACGCTATCTCTTCTTCTCCACCCCAGCTACATGTACTGGCCGGCGCTTGTCTGGCGTTTCTCAACGACACGACCACACACCACACAAGGGGGGAAGGGACAACCTGGGCCACCGAGATCGCCCAGAGTGCCAACTCCCTACGATACATGTACAACCTTGGCCCCTGTGTGGACATCGGCAAGAGACGACTCATCGACTCCGCCGGCCGGCTTAGTGACTGGCTTAAGCCATTTTAGGATTCACAGCTGATGAATTTGCTGTGAACTGCGTCCACATACCTTCACAGTCGTTGGAAAGGGACCGCCGTTTCCGCGATGCCCAGCAAGTAACATGATGAGAGGTGCGCCAACACCTGCTCGACAACGACCTGAACGCGCAATGCACAGCAGACAAGCGCGACTGGACGACCCGAATCCTCCTCCATCTGCACCCCGCTCAGTAGGAGCGTCCGACATGCTGGTGCGCAGGTGCCCCCAACCAAAGGAAACCCAAACATGGCCAACAGTCAAACGCTGCGCTCGGCTCCGATATACAGGAGCCAACCCTCCCAGCCTCTGTTCTGTGCCCCTCCTCAGATGTGAATCCTTGCCCAGAGACTTGTTGTTGCCTATCAAATATCACATTTTGAGTTCCCATGGAACATGGTCGCAGTACGCACCTAGACAGAAGTGGAACGCCACGGCCTGGTTCTGGCCATCATTCTTTCACTTATCGCACATGAAGCTGGGTTGAGCTTTCTCAGATGCCTCATCGCCCCTACCAGATTCTAGTAGTATCGAAATTTGCGTTATCATGAATGAATCATATTCGGGGGCGCTCCGCTAGGCAGACCCTTGTAAACGTGGCCACCAAGACGGGACCGCCCTTCTTCTCTCGAACGGGCTCTAAGATACTTTCCGCTAACAGAGGCCCGAACCTGTACCCGTCCCTTTCCGCGCATCCAGGACGACATCCAATCACACATTTGAACGTGCAAAAGGGGCTTGCGAGTGTGCAGAGGACAGGAACAAGGCCATTGTACGCGCTGACCGGGGGATTGTGATTCTGCCATTGGACGACCGCCAGCCCAGGAAAATCTACTTCCAGGCTGACTCCTTCTCAGGCATCTCATTGGTTTGAGAGTATCGAATAATGGCGAATCACGATGTCTGAAACAGACATCTGCATGTCTTACGCTTCCCGCGACGCCGCAGGAAGATGGGCCGAACCAATCCTCTAGTCCCATTGCCTCGATTGCTATCGTGCTCATAGACGATCAAGCGACAACGGGAAGCCTGGACTGTCTGGAGATCCAAGCGACGTCCTCAAGCCTCCATGTCTGTCCGAGGAAGAGGGGACGGGGGTAAGCGAGACCCCCCGGGAGCGAACCACCGGCAACGGCTCTTCTCTGTGCGACGAGGCAAATCTGGGGTCGTAAGACCACCAAAGGTGGCGGGCAGCACGTAATCTGAGGGATGTCCGATTTCGCTCGCTGAGACCATGTCGGCCGTGGTTACCATCCCTATTTGCGTGTATTGTCGTCCGAATCCAAATGTGCCCAGGTCACCGAACCATCACCCAAGTCCCCGTCTCTGGCCACGACCAAGGCCGGCCGTCCGATGTGTCGACCATGGTGCCCGTACCTCAAGGCCAGGGCCCGCATATCAGCCAGCCAGCCGCTTGGCTATCATCAGCGCGCCGTCAAAAACTGCATCATTGGAGCAGTAAAAAAAATCAACAGCTCTGTCGACAGCTGAAACCTGCATATGACGGTGGCAACTATCGCGTGTCAACCGCGTCTATCCCGGCTGCCAGGCTGGCGCAAGACGTAGATGATCCAAGGTTGAAAATAGCACCACCGGGTTGGCGTGCCTTTGCATTGACAAAAAGTACGCCGTCCGTTTAGCAGCCGGAACCAAGTCGCTGCCCGTATGCAGCATACGCAACGGCGCCTGTTGGCGGCAATTTTTTCTGTTCGATAGGGGCCTAAAAGAGGCAACCAACACGCCACGACGGCCTCACTCGGATAGCCCGATATTTTTCCATGCACTCCGCCACAGGCCTCACCGCCGGTCGGGCGAACGTCACGGGACTTCCATTGCCTTCGGAGGCTGGTGACGTGGCACGACGGCCCTTCGACCCCTGCACGGGTGGCTGGAAATGCATGATAGCCGAGCAAACGCAGGGAGAGGTACGTAGAGGTAGACGTCTCTTCTCGAATGCTTCCGTTACAAGCGCGCCCCTGCTGTGGCTTTGCCCTGCTGCATCGACAATCGCAGATCCCAAGCTGGCGGTCAGGTTGTCTTGCATCTCGCGACACGCAGAAGTACTCGATACTTCGGCGACAGCGAGGCGAAACACTTGACCTGGGTGGTTTCCTCCACGCCGCCAAGGCGATTGACAACGCATTGGATGCCTCTTGAGATCCCTGGAATCCCAGCACGCGGAAAGGCCAAATAACCGACCTGACAGTCAAAAAACTAGACAATGACGATGCCTTTGCGATGGCTTGCTCATGTTTGACTCATCTGCTCGAGTCGAGAATCACCAAATGTCCCCACACCACACACCAGAGCACTGCGGGCAGGCGCCAGTTCTGCCGTGACAGGGGTAAGACTCAGCCAGCAGGGGGCTTCGGTACTTCAATTGGCCTGACCGGGGTTGCCCCTCGCAAGTAACGTGACGGCGATGAGGTGCGAGGGGCATCACACTGGGTGTGCTGAACAGCTTGCCAGATGTCTGCTGCGGGCGCTCACCAGAGCGAGCTCGTTGGATTGTACCCTGCCATAGGTAAAGCCTCCCCTTCCCTTCGCCAGCGTCGCCCAGTCGGCAGCCAACGACATGGTCGTCAACGCTTCGCAGCCTCTGTAGAATCCCAGCTGTGCCGAGACATAGGCTGGAAGGGGGACCACATGCGTGCATCAGCTGGTTGGCAGGACGCCCGTGGTTTCCTGCTACTTGTTTTCTCATCGATCGATGGCTCGCAGACTAGACATGCCCCTTTTGAGTGCCTCGGACACGTCGGTGGCTTCCTCATCGTCCTCATTGGGGTTGTGGCTTCTGCCCATAAGGCTTCCCGAGGACGTAGGACCAACAATGGGCGCTCGGCGGGCGTTAGCGAGAGACAATTCCAACGACTCCTTCCAAGCCTAGAATGGAAGGGCTGGGCTGGACTAGCCTGGCATGGCCTCTCCTGCTCGCTGTTTGGCTATGCGAACGGCAGCATTATTCTGGCTTTGCATCCTGAAGGAGTATATCCAACGGCCAACCAGCCAATCCGCTACGATGTCTCCTTACTCTTTGGGCCGTGGAGGAGCTGACCTGCCCGATCCCGCACGCGAGTGGATTCGATTTCGAACGCCATTGCATGGTCGTGTCATCTGGCAAGGAAATACGCGAACCTCGGGGCTTATTCTCTGCTGCTGGCCGTTTCCCAGACACCCTTGATTCGAGGGCATATACCTGGAAACGCCATCTGGTCACTTGATGCCCCCTCGGCCATGTCGCGCATCCTCTCCAGACCAAAGACGTTCCAGGAAGACATCGGGCCGGGAGAATATTCGCGCCGTCTAGACCTATGAGATGTTCGCGGTGAAAAATGCCGTTGCGCTTCGCTGCTTCACCGGCCACTGTGTTTTTGGCCGCTGCGCCATCACGTGGTTGCTGGATGCCAATCATGCCGCTCTGCCAAGGGGGGCCATGTGACCCTTCGGTCTACTTGACGCGGCCTCGAGGCTCTGCGTGTGAAACGGCTCGGCGGTGAGGATTGGTCATGTGCTTGCGGCATTATTATTCTGGATGATGTTGTTGGTGGATCTTTGTTCCGGAGAGGCGTGAATGACGTCCCTGTCATGTTGGCGATGAAGTCCTTATTGGATATGGGGAGATGTGTCCTGGAGGACGGGGAGGTCCGCCGGTATGAGGCTCCGTCATTGATCCTGTCGTCTCCATGGATGAGACTCTGACGCGCTGGACGACGTGCCTTACTCAGAGAGCCAGATCGGAACCGACGGGTCTGCGGTGAGGCATCAGCGACGCACCTGTTTGATGTGGTGCGCGGTGTCCTCCAACAGAACCGCCGTCCAGCAATACTTGGTAGGAAAGAAAGCAGGAACGCCATGCCATTAGCGAGTGCTCACGTTTCCGTGCCAGTATCTCCCTAAGATCACAGCCAGAGTGGTCTTCGAGCAGATTATACTTGATGACCGTCGGACGAGCCCGAGATACCTTCACGACTAACAGTCACATCCTCGAGGAGCACGGCGTCATGCATCAGCAAGCATATCATTTTCGCTCCCATTCAGACCTAAGAAAAAAAATCCATATACCAGACCCTCCCCTTCGTCTAAACCCACTGTCGTTTTCGGCACGCGTCGGGCTGCGCGAGCACGCTTTCCATCCTCGGTCGTTGGGTATCCCTGAGGATGCCGCATAGTGTACAACCCGTCCGGTCCCGCATCCTGAGCCAGCCGCGGATTTGTCTTCCATATCCCAGATTCAGCGAGCAGGCAGAGACAGGCCAAAAGAAACCCACCCCAACAACACTATGCCTGGAACCTCAGCTTTCTCGCCTCCATCTTGACCTCCTCCGACGCGAAACAAGTTCCGTGCACCTCCTAAGAAGCAGCGAACCTCTTCGCACGAGCCTCCAGCTTGGCCTTCTCCGCCGGGTCAATGGCGCGACCGCCACCGCCCTGCTTGCGTCCCGCGTTTTCCCTCGGCGGCGGCTGGCGGCGTCCGCCCTGCTGCTGCTCGCGCTGTCCCTGCTGGCGACCGCGTCCCCTGCGGCCACCGTTGGCGGCGTTCTGCCTCTTGGCGTCCTGGCCGCCCTGCTGCTGGTCTCCCTCGCCGCGTCCGCGCTTGGGCCTGCGCTCGGGGAGCGCGGCATCGAGACTGGAGGCAATGTCGTTCGAGTCGGCGCCGAAGCGCGCGGCGCGCTCGGCCTTCTTCTTGGCTTCCGTGTCGGCAGAGTCGTCGGCGGTGATGCCAAAGCGCTTGGCGCGTTCGGCGCGCTTCTTCGTCTCCTCCGAGGCGTCGGTCGCGTTGAGGTTCAGGGCGAAGTTCTCCTTGGGCGCCTCAGGCTCTGCGGGCGCGGCGGCTTCGGCAGCAGGTGCCTCGGCGGACACTGCAGGAGCGGCCGCCGCAGTCTCGGCGGCCGGAGCGGGAGCTGCCTCTGTGGTAGCAGCAGCCGGAGCGGCGGCGGGCGCGGGCGCGGCAGCCTTTACGGCGGCTGGCTTCGCGGGCTCCTCCTCGTCCTCGGACCAGGTGATTTCGGCGTCGTTAGCTTCGGCGGCAACTGGTGCGGCGGCGGCGGGCTCGGCGGCCGCTATTTTTGGAGAGTTGATGTGGTCAGCTTCGGGAAGTTCGTTTCGGCAGGGAGGAACGATGCGCGCGCGAAAAAGAATGAAGAAGAAGACAAGCGAAGGATGAAGTCGTCGACACTGGTAGGGCTTCACGTACTAGGCGCGTTCTGCTTGTCGTTCTCGGCGAGACGGGCGACAAGATCGGCCTTGTTGCCTGTGACGGAGAGGGAGCGGGTCTGGAGCAGCTTCTTGAGCTCAGGGACCTTCATTGAGTTGTAGTCGGCCATTGTGAGGTGTATTCGTGTCGAGCTTGGGGCGAAGGATGGATGCGACAGTTGATGATGGGGATGCTGGGAGCAGGCGCGTCAAGCTGGAGCGCGTCTTGGTAATGAGGGCGAAGGACGTTCGGAAGAGTGCCGAGTGCCTTGTTCGCTAAGTCTTGAGGTAGTGGGTGGTCAATGGACAAAAATCTGTAGAGCCAGATGGGTGAGGTGAGGATGGGAGGAGGGAAGAGGTCTGTGTGGGCCTTCCCTTGTTGATGAATAAGATGGTAGTAGAACAGAAAGCTGAGAGGGAACTGGAGCTGGATGACGATCCAGGCGGCAGGCGCATGCGGGACCTGTCCATTCCTTCACCTTCACCTTTCACCCGTCGCTGGGCTGCATTGCGACGAGAACCGCGCACGGACCACCGAGTACCTGCATTTGCCCTGGAGCTTCACTGGAAGTACCTGCAAGGTCGCCAAAGTGTAGAGGGACCGAAAAAGGAGGTATGCGGACGAGACGGAGACTACATCTACACAGAGGAAGCCCGATAAAAAAGTTGAGATGGGGGGCCTGGAGATTGCAAGGTACCTTATGACACGTTATGAACATGATTCTGCGGGTACACAGTCAAGAGGACAGTGATGCATCTGACCCAGAAGGTCCTTCTCGACAAAGGGGCAGGACCCGCCGTGCGCAGGCAGATGAACAAAGTGCTGCCTGTTTGACATTTGAGCTTGAAGAAAAGGTTATCTGGCCTTTGAGAACCTAATAAGATACGACCTGCGAACATCGAGAGCCTAACCTCTCAAAGCTACCTAGGGACCTACCCAGACACAGCATCGGCAGCAACAGCTACAGCTCCAGGGAAGAAGTCAGCTGGACGTGCATAATGCTAGCTACCTAGGTAGGTACCATAAGGTACCTACCTACCCCAGATTCCCATTGCCATACAGCCAGGTAGAGCCGACCCCCCGGCGGTGGCAGGCCCAAAGGGGCCAGACCTACACTAGCTGGGCCTCTACAGCCTCCCCGCCAGCACCTCTCGTAGCGGCCCTCGCTCGCCGGCTCCACAAAAGGGAGCTTGGCATGACATGCCCACCAATGTGGGCGTCGCCGAGAACTGAACCTTTGCTCCTGGCTCAAGTCTTCCTTCCGTCTTGCATCCCGTTGGCGCCGTGTTGGCCGCATTGCTTTCCACTCTTACCGTTCGATACTCTTCTTCTCCCTCTGACGGCTCCAGAAACCGTTTCCCTACATCGCAAAAACGCTGTGTCCGACCCGACCTTTCCTCCCTTTGAACGACTCTCCCAGTGGCAAACACCCACTGGACCACGATCCCTATACTTTTGCCTTCTGCGCAACTCTTCCGAATCTACTCACCAGCCGATCTTGCTAGGATATGGCCTAGGCCGATCACGACGAAGGCTCGCTGCGAGTCCCCTGGCCTGCCCAACATCCTGGCCCTTTGATCGAACGTGGTCGCGCGCCCTTCGTCGCACAGTTCTTCTCTCTTGTAAATGTTGCATCTAGCCGGAGACGCCTCGTCCCAGCGCCAACAGCATGACGCGCAAAGTAGTACGTCCAAGAAAATGTCCTTGCCGAACCGCCGAATCCTCCTTCCATCCCTTCCCAGTCACATGCTCAACTATCCTAACCACAACGCCATAGATCCGATCCATCTTCCAGCTTGCTGGAGCGACTGTGGTCGCCTTTTGCTTCGTCGTCTTCCTCGATCGTAACTTCAGGGTGCTTCCCAAGTCCATCCACAACTACATGCCCCAACACAACCATGGCATGATCGTCACCGACATTACACTTGCCCAGTGCTCCAGTGTCAACCCCTTCGCCTCTTGCAAGCTGAATCCCAAAGTCTGGCAGCGTGTTGAGAAGGACCTCTACCTCGGAAAGACTTGGACATCACACGCGTACCTACACGTTGCGCGCAAGAAGGAGGAGGAGCTGTTGCCCGATGATCGCATTGTGCTCGACGTCTCCGTCGGCCGACTCAACCCCACCAGCACCGGCACCAAGGGTGACGATCCCGAGCTCTGGGAGTCTCGTCCTGGCGGCCTCTGGGTGAAGCGGACCCCGAACCACAAGCTCGGCGACTCCAAGGATACCATCACTGCCGTCGACGTCCTCTTTGGCGATGATGCCGTCGAGGCACGTGACGGCTGGTCAATCGCTGGCAAAACCCCCTTTCTTCTCGGAATCAGCAGCGACACGCCCGTCTCCCATCTCACCGTTCGCCGAGGCCCGGCCAAAGATCCCATCAAGCCCAAACCTCGAATTCCCGACAATGGCAAGTTCAAGATTATGCAGCTGGCCGACCTTCACTTGAGCACCGGTGTCGGCAAATGCCGCGATGCGGTCCCCGATAGTTACAACGGTGGTCCTTGCGAGGCTGACCCGAGAACGCTTGATTTCGTGACAAGGATTATCGACGAGGAGAAGCCAAACCTGGTGGTCTTGAGTGGCGACCAGGTGAATGGTGAAACGGCGCCTGATGCCCAGTCCGTACGTGTACCTCGGTAATGAGGCAGTGGAATCTTGCTAACGCGTGACAGGCAATCTTCAAATTTGCACAAATCCTGGTCAAGCGCAAAATCCCCTACGTCGCCATCTTCGGCAACCACGACGATGAAGGCTCGCTGCCAAGGGCCACACAGATGGCTATCATGGAAGGCCTGCCGTACTCCCTCTCGATAGCCGGTCCGGAGGAGGTTGACGGCGTTGGCAACTACTACATCGAGATTCTGGCCCGCGGCAGCTCAGACCACTCAGCCTTGACTATCTACATGTTGGATTCACACTCGTATTCGCCCAACGAGCGTACGTATCATGGCTATGACTGGATTAAGCCGAGCCAGATCACCTGGTTCAAGAACACAGCATCCAACCTTGAGAAGAAGCACAAGGAGTACACGCATACGCACATGGATCTTGCTTTCATCCATATTCCCCTGCCTGAGTACCGAGAACGCGACAACCAGTACGTCGGCGAGTGGAAGGAGGGCGTTACGGCACCCCACTTCAACTCGGGTTTCCGGGATGCTCTCGTTGAGAAGGGAATCGTCATGGTCAGCGCCGGACAGTGAGTACTACCTCCTAAAACCCGATATTCACATCACTAACGCTCTCTCAGTGACCACGTAAACGATTATTGCGCCATTTCCAAGGACGCGAACAAGAAGCCAGCACTTTGGATGTGCTACGGCGGCGGCGTCGGGTTCGGCGGTTATGCCGGTTATGGCGGCTACCATCGCCGCGTGCGGATCTTTGACGTTGACACCAACCAAGGACGCATCAAGACATGGAAGAGGCTTGAGTACGGCGACATTGAGAAACGGATCGATGAGCAGCTTATCGTCGACCACGGCAAGGCTGTCTTGCCTTCGACGCCATAAGCCGGAGGAGCCAACAGTGCAGGGCGACTGATATGACGCCCAAGCTTCCCTCTACACAGCGATCTGCATACGTAGAAGCTGCAGTCGATAAACTTGGCACACACAGTGCTAAAGCGGGCTATTCTGGTTCCTGAAAATGGATCCTGTCTGCGACACTTCAGAGGCTCTGACGATGCTGCGCCTACGTCGCAACACGATGAGAGAGTGCTGGGAAGAAGACGACAACATCGGATTGGTTGGATGAAATACCCTACGGGCGTGGTCGAGCGTGGAGGAATCACTCGCTTAGGAGCGCTGCTCATGACTTCTGCTTATTGTATCCAAGTAAGAGCGACAGAAACAACGAATTGACATTTCTCTGCTTCAGCTTTGCCTTGATGAATAATGTTTAGCTGTTCGTTGTCGCAAGGAAGAGGTGCCTTGAACCCCTGGACAGGTCTAGTGCTGACAGTAATGCTTGCTTTGTAATGCATCCGACCCGGCACATTGGTAATGAGATGCCCAGCAAGTACTGACTGATTACGGTGCACCAGAACACGACCATCGCCCGTACCTTCAGGGTGAAAACTTAACAATTCGTCGTACGGAATCCGAGATCCGAGTAGTGTCGAAAGTTATGCACAAATGGACCTTATGTAAGGTCTCACCAATTCGGAGAGGAGCATCGCCATGACGACATGCACAACAAGCCCCGCTGTTCCGGGACACCACCCACGATGCGATATGCTAAACGTCCACGACGCTCTCTTTTGATGCTTTGTCATGCGGGGTATGGTCGAGCCGGCCGGGAAGAGGTGACCAAGGTGACTTACTGGGACCGTCATGGGTGGTCCCTCTTCCCAACATATGCGGCGCCAGAAAGGGGAGAGAGAGCTGGAGCTTTTTTAAAAAGAGCTACCGCGTTCCTCATTGAATTGGTCCAGTTCCTTCTGCCCTCACCCCACTGTGCTTTACTGGTACTTCTTTGATCTCAACACCAGGATCACAACGACCATTTGAACGTTATCACATTTCATGACTTCTAGACTGGGACTTCTGTCGAAGCAATTTTTCAAAATGGCTGCCCCCAAGAGTGACATCCACTTGTACACCACCGGTACACCCAATGGCATCAAGGCGTCCATTCTGCTTGAGGAGCTTGGTCTTCCGTACCAAGTTGGTCACTCAGCTGCGCTTCGTGAAGTCGTGCTAATCTTGAATCAAAAAGGTGACCAAGATTGATATCTCCAAGAACACACAGAAGGTGAGAAGAGCTCCGAGCAGACATGACCAAGCAGAGCAGTCGATACTCATGCCACCTGACAGGAGCCCTGGTTCCTCGAGATCAACCCCAACGGCCGCATCCCGGCTCTCACAGACTCGTTCGATGACGGCAAGCCCATCCGCATCTTCGAGAGCGGCAGCATCCTGCAGTACCTCGTCGACCGCTACGACAAGGACCACAAGGTGTCCTACCCCGCCGGCTCGCGCGAGCACTGGGAGACCACCAACTGGCTGATGTGGCAGATGGGCGGCCTCGGACCCATGCAGGGCCAGGCCAACCACTTCAAGCGTATGTCCCTTCAGCCGTCGCGGACGTGCGAGCGAGTGAGACGCCGCCGCTGACGAGTGTCCAGGCTACGCACCCGAGCAGATCCAGTACGGTATCGACCGCTACACCAACGAGTCGCGCCGCCTCTACCGCACTCTGGACACGCACCTGGCCAAGTCTTCGTCCGGCTTCATCGTCGGCGACAAGCTGACTGTTGCGGACATCTCCTGCTGGGGCTGGATCGCCGCTGCTCGTATGTGCCCTTTCCCTTTTACCCCCCTTACTTTTCCCTTCGTTGCTTTTGGGAAGGCGACGTGTGCTGCCCCTCTTCGCGATGACAGGCGTGAGTGAACCGATCTGACATGAACAGACTGGGCCGGCATTGACATTGAGGAGTTCCCCCACGTCAAGAAGTGGCTGTACAAGCTGCTCGAGCGCCCCGGATTCGAAAAGGGCCGCCACGTTCCCACCAAGCACACTGCTCTCGAGTCGGCGCAGAAGAGCGAGGAAGAGTTGGAGAAGGCGGCTGCCGAGTCGAGGCAGTGGGTGCAGAGTGGCATGAAGGAGGATGCCAAAAACTAAGCTGTACAGCAATGACAAAGGACTGGATTGTACATCATTGTTTTGAGTCCTGAAACGTGAGAAGTGCAGGCGGCTTCTGAGTACAATAATCAATCCAAATGTTACCATATCTGATACGTATCCTACTGTCCCAGCAGTGACTTTAGTTGAGTACCGAGGTACCCAAGGGGCCAGGACGGCACTGAGCTCCATTCGCTCCCACCAACAGAGGGAACGAATATCTTGGCGGAGCACGTGATTCACAGCTGGGTGGAGAGCATCTGGCGCTAACTGTCTTTGGCCCCCAAGGATCTGGGCCCCATTTTAAATTCGCATCCTGAACATTAGGTAGTTGCCGCTCCTCGGCCCCAGCCAACGTTCAAATACTCCTCCCACCAACAAACGCTCTCCTGATCCGCGCATTCTCTCAGCCATCGCGCGTCCTCCATCATGTCGTGGAGAAACCAGGGCATCACCGGTTCGAACAACATCCCACTGGGAAAGCGTCGCTTTGGCGATGACGAAGAAGACGGCGGCGGCGGTGGTCGCGACCGTGCCCCTGCAGTTGGTGGTGCCGAACTGAAGCGCGGTCGTAGTCCTGAACCTCGTAAGTCTGGCTTTTACTGCACAATGCAGATCTCCATCGCTGACACGCCGACCATAGGCACCGATGCCGATGGCCCGCGACGCCGCAAGAAGCGCAACCGATGGGGCGACGCCTCCGAAAACAAGGCCGCTGGCCTTATGGGCCTGCCGACGGCCATCATGGCCAACATGACCAGCGAACAGCTCGAGGCGTACACCCTGCATCTTCGAATCGAAGAAATTAGTCAAAAGCTTCGCATCGACGATGTCGTCCCTGCCGACGGCGACCGGTACGTCCCGCCCCTACTGATCTCGTGGTATCCCCTTGACTGACAGTATCATAGATCGCCCTCTCCTGCACCCCAGTACGACAACCATGGTCGCCGTATCAACACTCGCGAGTACCGCTACCGCAAGAAGCTCGAGGATGAGCGCCACAAACTCATCGAGAAGGCCATGAAGACGATCCCCAACTACCACCCGCCCCAGGATTACCGCAGGCCGACCAAGACCCAGGAGAAGGTCTACGTGCCCGTCAACGATTACCCAGAGATTAACTTCAGTATGATTGCTAACCCTCTAACCCTTCTAACCACTCCTCCTTTCCTTCCCGTACCTGGAACGGGCCGGCTTGCCGTGCGCCCTATCGGCGTGTTGGCAAGCTTGGCCTTTTTGAGAGACCTAACCTGCCACATGCCCCTTACTTGACACAGAGACTAACACTTAGCTTTCCCCCTGAAGTTGGCTTACTTATCGGCCCTCGTGGCAATACTTTGAAGAAGATGGAAAACGAATCTGGCGCCAAGATTGCCATTCGTGGCAAGGGCTCCGTCAAGGAGGGCAAGGGCCGTTCCGACGCCGCTCATTCCAGTAACCAGGAGGAGGACCTCCACTGCCTCATCATGGCCGACACGGAGGAGAAGGTCAACAAGGCCAAAAAGCTGATTCATAATGTCATTGAGACGGTACGTTTTGCGCCTCCTGTTTTTCTGAACATGTACTAATGAACTATAGGCTGCTTCCATCCCCGAAGGCCAGAATGAGCTCAAGCGTAACCAGCTCCGTGAGCTTGCTGCTCTGAACGGCACGCTCCGTGACGACGAGAACCAGGCTTGCCAGAACTGTGGTCAAATCGGACATCGCAAGTACGACTGCCCCGAGAAGCAGAACTACACCGCCAGCATCATCTGCAGAGTCTGTGGCAACGCTGGCCATATGGCTAGGGATTGTCCCGACCGCCAGCGTGGAGCCAGCTGGCGCAACGACGGCGCCGGCCCACGTCCTGCCGGTCGCATCGACGGTGGCGATGCCGTCGATCGCGAGTACGAGGTATGTCCATCCCCTGACCCGGTGTGCAATAGTATACTGACCGAGCTCAGCAACTCATGCAAGAGCTTGGCGGCGGCCCCGCCGATGGCGCTCCTCCTGCTCGCATCGAAGCCGGACCTGGCTCGTATAACAACGACCAGAGAGGTGGTGATGTCAAGCCCTGGCAGCGCGGCCCAACAGGCGGGCCTGCTCCCTGGCGGTCGCGCAACGAGTCGAACCATGACGGCGGCTCTGGCGGCGGCGGCGGTGGTGGTGGAGGCGGCGGTGCTGCTCCCTGGGCGCGTGACCGTAACCGCGACCGCGATGATCATCGCGGCCATGGTGGTGGTGGCGGCGGCGGCGGCGGCGACTATTACGGCGGTCAAGGTGGTAACAACTATGGCAGTCATGGTGGTCAGAACGCCGCGCCGTGGCAGCAGGCTCCTGGTACGCAGGGCGGCTACGGAGGCTACGGCGGTTACTCTGGTGGCTATGGTGCTCCTCCCGGCATGAGTGCTCCTCCCGGCATCCCGCCGCCACCTGGAGCTCCTGGTCTTGGAGCCCCGCCTAACCTCACTGGCAACCTTAACGCACTCATCCAGCAGTACGCAGGCGGTGCTCCTCCTCCTCCGCCCCCCTCGGACAACGCACCTCCTCCACCTCCCAGCGACCAGCCGCCCCCGCCCCCTCCTGGCGCTTGAGGGAGGCCAACGACAAGGCTAGCGGCTACAGTGGACTAACAGCGTTTGGCTTCTTGAGACGGCCTAGCACACCTGAACATGCCTGAGCTACCTATCGTGGACAAGTCGCCATGTACTGACGAGCAGGGCTGTTGAGCTTGCATGATGATGACCTCTTGACATGACAGGCCGTCTTGACTTTCTAGGCTTCAGGCACCGTCTATCTTGCTCTGGGGGCGTCTAACAAGTCTAGAGAATCCGAGGAGAGTCTGCACCGGCGATCCGCGCAGGTCGATCACGACTGGGAGTGCCCGAGCAGGCACTGAAATGTACCATTAGACTGACTTCAGTATGCACCCAATATGTAGTGACTAACGCAAAACTATCAAGGTTTGGCATTGTGCCTCGTGCATGTTGTGATGAGAATGACCTGCGGAAATGTTCAGTTGTGAGCTTCATGTTCGCTGGGCCTCGCGGTCACAGGTTCTCTCGATTGGTGTGCATGAGAATGCTGGAGACAGGGCATGACTTGCATATGCGATGCAGGCGCTACCTACATCCCAGCGGGCCACAGCGGGCCACGGCGGACCACAGCGGTTCACCTCGGCGATAGCGACAGATGCGTGGCTTCCTCGCCCCGCATTCCAGGCCAACCACGACCTGCGGTAGGGTGCATGTGCCTTAGACAGCTATACCTGCCTATGATGACATCGCTCGAGTGTAGCAGCAATGGAGCTTGGGCCACCCCGCCCTCCTCTGTCTCCCACTTCCAATATCGACTATGCCGTCAACCTCCTCACCCTTTGCGCTCTCTGCCAGGCCATACCCCGTCGTCTCGGCGGCCTCATCTTTTTTGGACTACCACCAGACACCATTCACGCACCTGGCTCTCTGCCGTCCGTCCACCGTCTGACGCCCGCCATGAAGTGCCACAACCCCTTCGGCTTCCGGGTCGGACCCGTCACCTTCTGGACCATCATTATCTACCTTGCTCTCCTAGTACCTCTGCTGTGGATTCATGAGACCGTGCCCCCCGCGCCATCCTCCCCGACCCCGACCCCCGGTATCAATCTGACCGAAGCCTGGCACGACCTGACGACCATCACGAAACACTACCACCCCTACAACAGCCGTGACAACGAACGTGTTGGCGACTACATCCTCGAGCGCATCGCCACCATTCTCGACCGCAACGATGTGAACTGGACCTTGGAAAAGACTGGTGCCGTGCAGGGGACCAAGACCATGTCAGTCTTTATTCCGTAGTCTTGCTTGTCTTCCGCCTGACTAACTTTGTTTCTTAGCGCTCCCAAGCGAAATGCTGATGCCACCCTCGAGCTCTCCAGCCGTTCTTCCTCTGCCCCATCCGTGACGGTCTTCGATGACAACCTCGCCAATGTGACATGGGCGACCGATATTGGCATGCTTGGCGATCACACCGCTGGCGTGGGCACATACTTCGAGGGCACCAACAAGTTGGTCTACATTCGTGGCACCGAGGATGAAGAAGGCGAGTGGTGGAAGTCCGGCAAGAATGACGTGCGCGTCATTGGCAAAGGAGGTGTTCTCGTCAACGCCCACTACGACTCGTAAGGCTAGCCATTTCATGTATGCGCTGTGTGTGTGTGCGAAGAAAACTAACTTAAGCCAGGGTTGCGTCCGGTTACGGTGCCACTGATGACGGCATGGGATGCGTGAGCATCCTGCAGATTCTCAACTATTTCACGACCCAGGGCCGACAGCCGAAACGCGGCCTGTTGCTCCTCTTCAACAATGGCGAAGAAGACGGCCTGTTGGGAGCCAAGGCTTTCGCCAACAGCCCCCTGTTCTCGTTCCCTACCACATTTGTCAACTTGGAGGGTGCCGGCGCCGGCGGCCGTGCCGTCCTGTTCCGATCATCTGATGAGCAGGTCACCAAGGCGTACCAGAAGGCCCCTCACCCATTCGGTCTCGTCGTCGCTTCAGATGGATTCTCCATGGGCCTTGTCAAGAGTCAGACTGACTTTGTAGTCTGGGACGACATCTTTGGCCAACGTGGGCTCGACATTGCCTTTTACAGACCCCGTCCCCGGTACCACACTGACCAGGATGATACCCGCCATGCTTCCCCCGCAAGCCTCTGGCATATGCTCTCCAACTCGATCGCCGCCATCAAGAGCCTCTCGGATAACACGCACACGTTTTCGGGCCAGAGGTCTGACGGCGACAGGCGCAAGGTGCCCAGCGGATCCCACGCCAGCAAGGGTGTTTGGTTCGATATGTTCGGCAACGGCTTCGCTGTCTTTGGGCTCCGAGGACTTTTCGCGTGGTCCCTGACGCTGCTGATTGTGTCGCCTCTGATCCTTGCCGTCATCGTCTTCATCTTGAACTGCCACGACAAGCTCTACTTCTTCTCGAGAAAGATTAACGTTCACAACGAGGGTTCAGAGGACCCCGTGTCAATCGGCG